TTTGGGAGAAGGAAATATGTGAATTCACATGTTGGAAAAAAGGAAAATGTGAATTCACACTTTGGAACGTTGTAGGAATCTTTATGACGGGCCCACAATGTGAATTCACATGTTGGGAAAAAGGACTATGTCAATTCACAGTTCGGGAAACTCGCGGGACCCATTCCAACTCTGTCTTGGGGGTCGACAAGTCATCGTTTGGGAACATAAGCAATCAACAATCGCACACTCAAGACACACGTGCACGCCACTTCGGCGCCCCGGCACCGACGCCAGCCGATGAGGCAGAGGACCCTCGTGCCCCAGCCGCCCCTGAGCCGCCGCCCCCATGCTGGCAAGCGCGTCTCCAGAGCCAGGCTGGGTCGCTCAAGACTTCCTCGATTGTGACGATTCGCGGCCTGGCTACCACCTTAAACCCCAGAGTGCCCCGGAGTGACGGCTGCGTAGTGGTGGCGCGCGAAACTCGATGACGTAGCTCAGCCATGCGCGCCTCGTGCACTTACCCCTCGCTACTTCGAGGCGTGCCCGCAGCAGTTGCAAGCCGCGGCGGCGTTGTAGAGCGCGGCGCTATACTTCCCAGCGGCGTCGTATTGTCGACGTACTTCGCTAGCGTCTCGTGCTGCCCCAGACCTCTGCGTAGGTTCGCCGGTACCTCCAGCCCCTCGATCGTAGCCATTCGACAGGATTGTCGGAGTTTCGGCCGTCGTCGTTGCTGCGCCCGCGATCCGCAGCCAGCGCAGAGGAACATCGAGGGGATTGCACCTTGGCGTGCGCAGTGGCCCTTCTGGTTCACCGCGACCAGCTTGCGCCCCTTCGGTTCCTCCAGGAGTGCCAGCGCAGCCTGCAAGTGGAAGCTCAGCTCTTGGAACATGCAGCTTAAGACACGGTTTACGCTGAACTCCCAGCCCGCCTTCTTCCTAAGAGTGCCAACCTTCTCTGCGAATGATCTTGAGCCTTCGCGTTGTGCACGGCCGCCGCGCCCATCTTGGCCGATCATCCGCATCGTGCAATGGTGGGTTCGGTGCTGCCAGCTCAGGAAAATTACCAATTCGCTTCACGGCATCACCCATTGAACTGAGCATCTCGGGATCAGTCAGAGGATGCATCGCATTGACACTCTTGGCTCGAGCATCAGCCGCCACGTTCGCACCTGTGAGCCCCCGTTCTGCTTCTCCAAGCGCTGCATACTCCTCGCCCGAACGATACTTCCCAAGAAGCGTGTGGTGTATGACTCAATGAGGTCGAACCCTGCCGTGCCCTGCGTGAAGTGAGAGACGCTTGCCCATGGCGATCTGCGCAACGACTGTGCCTCCTTCGGTCTGTCACCGAGCTGGGTCGCCCGCGTGAGGTCGGCGTGGACCAGGCACCTGCCATCAGCAATGTGCGACGCAGAAAGTTCCGATCATGCGCCCGCCACTTGTAGATGTCTGAGGCAATGGGGCAGGCGCAGGCGCGTGCATGCCGCGGAGCGGTGTGCCAGACCCCGGATCCAGCAGCGCGGGGCACCAGATCGCGGGGGGCTTCGTGCATGGGCCGTCGATGGCAATCTCCATGAAGTCATCGTCGTCAGCCAGAGCTGTTCGTGCGAGGCTCTCTCTGGGGTGCAATCCAGCCGTTGGTCATCGCGGCCTAGAGTGGCGCGCCGCAGTCCCAAGTCCACGCGGGGGGCGTCGACTTCACAGTAGGGATCATCAGCGTGTTCGCGAAGTTGCCGCAGAAATTCTTGCGGCGCTACAGCCTCGACTCGTGCGGTCACTGCCTCAGGTGGGGTACAATCCACCGGCCGAGGCAAGACTGCGTCCACGGCACCGCACTGACAGAGACCAGTAGCACGGTACCCAGCCTCATGCGCGCGGCGTTGAGTCCAGACCCCGTCACAATCACAGTTCTTGATGCACGACTTCTCTTGCCTGTTGTACTTCTGATTTTCCGGTCTCGCAAGCCCAGCCAGGAGATCGAACGTTATTCGCAGGTGCCCACCCACTCCCCTTTTCTGAGCCAAGGCACGTTCATGCTGGCAAGCAGCGTTTTGTGAGAGTCAGCTGCGCAACATCCCGGGTGTCAGTTGATCAATCTGCATTTCGTCCCCACGATGGTTGATCCATAGAATGTACGTGGCCAGTCTCCAGCGCGCCCGTCGCGCGGAAAGCGCAGCGCGTTGCAGTGGACCGCGCGTCCTACCCCATGTCGCACACGCGCCAGGCGCAGTAATTCGCGAAACTGCTGCCCGCGCCATTCGTGACCACTCAAGTGCTGGCTCCATTGACTGCGATATAGCAGGATCCCTGCGAAGTGCCAGATTCGCCGTCGCAGACACCACCGTGTTATGTCTTACGCTGGCGGCCACAATCGCGTCGTAAGCGCTGCAACTCGCCACCACTGACCCTGTTCATCTCGACGTCGAACGTGGGTGCTGGGCGCTCTCCAGTGCGGTTTTTTACGACCGACATGTTGCTCTTTCCGTCTAGGTAATAGCATCCGAGACTTGTGTAGCTTGCGTAGTCTGATCCTG